AGAGAAACGCTGCATTAGATTCTGCTGTTGAAGGGAGAGCAGAGGGATATGCGTAGATGAGGCAGAAGGTCCATGCTGGAGCATCTGACAGGATGCTACAAGTTTTGTTGTTGCACATGTTGTCCTGCGCGATAGTAAAGCACCACACGTTGAGCTATTCTTCATACTAGGGCATACTCACACGAGAACTTTTCGAAATGTATCTGGCCGCAATCACGGCCAGACCTTGATACACCAGACTGCAATAACGGCCAGAGCTGAGTCTAAAAAAGGAAAAAAGGTCCTTGTGTGACAATGCCCTTACATGAATTGTGTCATGTTTTTCCTGTTTGGCATCAGATCCACTCCTACACTAGGTAAAGGGACTTTCGTTTTTGAAACAAGTCCGGCAGTTCTGCAGACAATGGGCCTCGCTGCACTAGGAGGAAGGACTGTCCGGTAAAGACAGCTGCTGCGTGAGAACGATGAGGGGAAGATACACCATGAAATCCACACCATTGCGCACGCAAGAAAGCAAGTAGCCGAAGTACAAAATAGTACCAGTACTAGAACATCGAGTAATCAAAGTACAAAATAGTACCGGTACACGGGAAACCACGGTCATCCCCGATGCGTTTCGTCTACCCCGTGCGTAGACTCATCAGGAGGTACTCAGCAAGTACTAGTCCTTGCCTTGCCTCCTTTATACTTATCCTATGCCAACTCGAATCCCCACCCAAGCCATCGTAACCTGAATCTCGGATCTATAAGAAAACAGAGATCGCTGAAACTCCACAAAGATCAATGGCGAGAAGACGCATGATGATCCAAATACAGCAATGTCCAGTTGGCAGAACTGAGAAGGAGCCATATCACTGCTGCAAAAGAGCCTGCACATCACAGAGAACACACAAGAAACAAACACAAACACACATTGTCAACAGAGCAAAGGGGATATCCGCCGTAGCCGATGGAACTGTGGCCAATCCTCCGGAAGAGAGACAGGAGCTCATACGCATCAGTGACGTCCAGTGCCAGATACTAGATAGCCAGAGCGCATCTACTCCACTGAACACCTTGCCCGTCCTTCTGACTCGCCCAGTCCTCCGGCGCCGCCTTTGTACATCTTAACCGCACACGCACGTTCGTTCCATCGTGAGTGAGAGGCATACTGACACTCAACCATGGTATATATCAAAATCTGATCTGAACTCAGAAGGCACTCAGAGGCAGGCAAAGTTCCACTCAGTAGGGTACCCGCCAACCGTCCCCAAACGGAGTCCCCAGCTGAGGCTCAGCCAAATTTTTCAAAAAAGAGCGTACGTAGCCGCAATATGGGATGTATCCATCTGATCTCGAAAGGCACCCGGAGGCCCGACAACGTTCTACTCAATAGGGTACTCGCCAACCACCGTGAACAGAGTCCCCTGTTGAGGAAAAGCAAAACTTTCCTTCGAAAAACGACACACGTAACCCAAAGAAAGGAAAAGATCCATCGGATAGAAATCCCGAATCCAATAGAGTTCCTTTAAACCGTTCAGGTCAGGTTCTGGCATGGATTCCTAGGCGTGGAGGGACCCCTCAGTACCGAGTCCCGTTGTCCTTCTGAAAACATAGCCCAAAACCGGGAAAGGCAACAGTCTGAAGTGAAAAAACAAAATTTCCGTACATGGCCTGCAATACAGACCCTTTTCAAGATGAATACTCCCAAAAAGACAAGGCCCTAATAGCCATCTCCTTACGCAAAAGCTAAAGTACAAGGCCACAAAGGGCCTGCTTGGCCTCCGGCCAAGCCCCTAATGAAAACATTCCGCAACTTCTTCAGCAATTTGGCACCCCATCTTGCCTGCGAAGCGACGACATGTAGAGGCAATGAGTCGGTGCGGATAACCTCTCAGAAGCAGCTCCCGCTTTACTACGAACAAAGCTTCATGCTGACCCCACGAATCCGATGAGAGCCGGAAAACCCGGTGAAGGGTGCTAATTATCGCCCCAATCTTCGCTCGCTTGCAACAATAAGATGAGTAATCCTGAAAACAACCGAAGGCCAGTTCACCCGAATCCCAAATACCGAGCGCATTCTTAAGAAGCACAACCGTACGCCATCTCACCCCTATTCTAGTCACATT